TATACGGGCCTTTGTCTTAAGGCAAGACCTGTGGTATGACAAATGCACTCTAGGAAGATTAACCATTTATTGTACACACAAGTATACTTTTATCAGACAATGGATGTAATGAAGATACGTTGTGCAGCTCATATCTAAAGGAACGGTCTGCTCTATTCTTAAAAAGCTTTGAAAGCCGGAACAATACTAGTCTAGTCTACACTCGCCAATCAAAAACGTCCCCCAACGGTTTGCCCCCACCCCCACACCCTCGTCCATACTTAGTTTGTAGCTCCCCATCCGGCTCTTCTGACTGCACAAACACTTGACAAATATTGGCAACGTATTTGTACGCGATGCACTTCTGTTCTTTATATCAGTTTCGCAGTTTGACCCGAGTCCCACTGTTTGTTCTTCGTGACAAGTGCTGAACAATGAGCCACGCGACTCTTTCTTTCAACTTTGATCCGCAGGATCATCTGTAATTACAAAATGTCGAGGTTGAATCGGCTGGAATTGCTGGAAAGAACCAGCCGTTTCGAATTCGACCTCATTTTCTCGATAATCTTTAAAAATGCCGCGACAATGGCTCCCGATGCGACTTCAAAGTGTCCCAGCGGCTTTTGAAATCGCTGTCGTCTGCAGGAGACTTTCTGAGGAAAAACACCTGGATCGTGCTCACCTGATCTCCCAATTTCGCGCCGTCTCACTTGACAGACCAGCCACCGCGTCGCCCTCTGAAACCGCCGGCGCGATGCCGCTTTGTGTCGCCGCCTGAAAGAATGCAGTCACCCGGCTACCCCCACTTATGAGATAACCCGAACAAAAGTACACTTATCTTTTAAAACCTCTCCGATGGTCGAAATTATCGTCAGAACCAGTTGGTTTATCTGTGAAATACCGCTATTTTCCTATCGAGTTTAATAGACGAGGATTGTGTCCCTTTCTGTGCTTAATCCTGTCCCATCGTGGATTAGATTAAACTCGTCAAAAAAGGTGTCATAATGAAGCACTAAATTTGAGCTCCATAAGCATCGCAGTCTTCTTCACTTGGTTACGTTTTATGCGAAATTGAGATGTGTGTATTAGTTGCTATTACATTAGTTCTTCTATTCTATGACTTGATGACAGAATATTCGGAGGAAGAGTGCTTAGAACGTTTAGAGCCGACTGAAAAGACAGTGTTTCGCTTCAAGCAGTGAGGTTAACAGGTGGTTGTTATTCGCTAGTGATATTTCGTACTTTCCTTAGCCTTTTCCCACATGTCATCTCACCCACATCACGTTTTCCTTCCTTTCAGCCATTGTGATACTATTTCTTTCTTAGAATCATTTGACAGTTTGGCTCATTTTAATCTGGAGTGGTCTAAAATATTCCAAATATCACAAGATTTCCACGTCTCAATACTGGTGGCTTATTGCGGCATGTAGTTTGCAATCGTGCAATTTGGAGACACGTTTGGGCCGTTTGGGGACTTTTTCTAAATGATTGACATCTCTTTTGGACGACAAGATACTTGGTAAAGTGATTCATCCATCTTGGTAGAGACTGATATCATCGGTGACTCTGACGGGCTCCTGACGGGAAGACTGTCCCGCTCTGGTCGGAACCGTCTTCTGAAGTCAGCCGCTGACCAGAAAATTGGCCACGGGTCTCGGTTTAACTACAATCCTCAAAGGGCTGAGGAACATCGCCGCGAGTTATATAAAATGTGGTACACAACAGACGATAAATGTAAGATACTGAACGATATGATTCTAACAGTGACATACAAAAATTGTACGACATTGCCTATACATTAAAGCCCTGAACCAAAAAAGGAAACCGTCTTACATAACAAGACATTTGTCACAATAGAGAGTGAGTTAAGGCTTTCCAAGGAGTTTAAAACCTTCTTGGGCTTTCTAAAACCGTACAGATGTAAAATAAACACTTTTAGAAGATTCAAGTGACGATGGGTGTTCTATTTTTATTGATGGGGACAATGTATACTGTTTCGAAACCTTGGTTTTATTTTGAAGTAAAATACACAACATGCAGTATCAAGGATCGAACAGAAGGGGGCGCTGTCAGTTCTATTTTCCCCATTTATATATGCAGGCAAACATCTGACTGATTATAGTAATAGAGCACACTGGCCAGATGTGAAGTTCAGAAACTATTAAAGGTAGAAAAAATACAATGGCAGAAACACAGATACGAAAACACTTCGAATAGTTATCATTCTTTGGTAGCGTTGCCAATGACAACGATAACTTCTTTTATTCCACACCGAAGTATCTCAGACAAAGTAGGAAAATGCTTCGGCAATTTCCTTTGTATCAGACCAATATTACGCCTTCGCAATCACAGTACCGAACCGACGGCCGAAAAGAGCCGAAGTTGCTGCGCGGAGGATTTAACATGCCGCCATCATTGATAGAGAACATACAAGCTACTAATTTTCACATACCGCTACAGACCTTAGCGATAGGACCACGATTTGTTGGCAGCATTTTTCAAACACGTTTGCAGATCACAGGAATTTTGATCAGTGACTTGAGACGCCGGTGACAAAAAAAGCACCCAGAGCGCAAACCTTCGCTGTAGCATAAAGACTAGTATAACATTTTCTATGCAGAAACCAATATAACGTGTACTGCACGAAATCGTCGTAGACCAGAACACAGTGTAGAGTGCAATGCTCATACTGCCTGATACGTGAGCCTGCCGTGCCGCACATCTGTTACTAAGTATTTCCAGGTCTACAAAGACTGGTACACCTGCGCATGCTCCCTGGTTAACGTTACGATGATTCATTCCAGTGTCACAGAGTACGTAAACAGCTTGACTCGTCATCAAAATCCTATCTTCGCTTCACTACATCATCTTGATCAAACGAAAATTCTCATTTTCTTACTTTCTTACTTACTTTCTATTTATTATATTCTTAAATCCTTAAATAAGTACCACCTGATATCTGAAAGACTAGCACTGTCCATGTCGCGACGGATTTCTTTCCAATTGACTAGAAGCATCACCGTGGAGTAACCTTAACGTTGGTCGTTTCTATCTCTACTTCCTGCCCATAACCGGATGGGCACGCTCAATTCTACTCCATTTTGATGATTACCTATCATTTCTCTGTCTTCCGGTCCGCACGCACACACCACACACAGATACTCTATTCACCAGCCGTTACCGATATTCAGACAAAAAACAGACACTTTGAAATTACCCGTGTAGTGCCCCCAGGCATGATTGTATCAGTCCGTCTGGTCTTTGATGTCGTCCACAAGTACAAGTCTCCTAAGTGAAGACGCGCTGCGCCAATATCAGGCCTCAAACATCAAAAGAAACTCAGTCTAGACGATGGCACACCGATGTTGGTTATCACTGAGAGACAGGAAAAAATCTCTCTTTTTTTACAACAAAAGAGGTCAGAGACCGCATATATAACAGAGGAGAAAATGGGATGGGCTTTTGGGCCATGACACAGTTGTAATTGTTTGAAAGATGTGGTAACTGTGTCATTTTATGACACCACACTAAAGAATCATTGCAGTGGTTTTATTCAAATTTATACCGTGCATATTATAAGAGAAAAAGGTTTCGACGAAGTTCATAGCCTACCATGACCCTGGGTGGAGCATGGCAGAAAACTTTTGCCATCGTTTACGACCTAAGTGTGTACTTCTATACATATGACGATACGTGATAATTTGTTTGTTTGTTTGTTTGTTTGTTGTCTTTATGGCTGAAGGTTCAGTTGAAGAGAATTTCTGTATCGCCACGAGCGTTTGGGTACCGGAAAACAGAGGCCACGCGTCCTGTATTAGTGCAAACATCCCAGGATCGATATAATCACATCCGGACAATACGGCGTCCTCGCCCGGAGAGAAAGGCCCGCACACCCGGCACACACCCGCCTTTTGTCCCACTGATCTTCGGCTACAACATCTGGTTATGGCGTCATTAGTTTGCCACAAATGAAAGAGATCTATCTACTGTAACAGCTAATATTACTGGGCTTTAGCATGAAAGTTTATATGAGTTGGTAATTTACATAGTGAAATATGAAACTGTTCTCGGACTCAAAAAGAAATTCGGTTGAAAATTCCGGTGAGCCTAATTTGAGTTGGAGAACAATTGAATTTTTCACTATATTACTAGTTTTTTTCCGTGACTGGTGATTTCAAGTGAACTTTGGACGCGTTGTTCTATTCTATGATGCATGTGTGATGCATTGCACGTGGTTACATACTTAAGAATTACATCTTATATCTTATTCTTAAACTTTATCTCTTACGACCAAAGTAATGCATCTGCAATATACAGATAAATGAACGTACAAAATATAGTAGCAGAGTAAGGATTGAAAATACGTGGACCAGACCGACAGAGGGAGTGTATGTCAACTACATCTTAACGCATATCATACCATTTTTTCCGTATCGTTGCTGACTGGTGGTATATGTGGCCCGTGACAGTATAACAATGCAGACACTTGGCAAGTCAAAAGTAACTGACTAAGCAAAAATCGCATGAGAATACAAAGCTCACATATGCGGAAACAGAGAAAATTCCAGGGCGAAGTTGATCATGGGATATGTGTATCTTCGCCACTGTGTCGTCCCTGTTTTTTTTACGAACACTAGACACGGAGTTCGACCTCCCACATGCAGACAATTGGAACTGAATTGAGACTTCCGAGGAGCCCTCAATTTTACATAATGTAATTAAGAAATATCCCTCTATCTCATCAAAATCCACATAAGAAAGAAATATATCTTTGTCGATTGACGAGAGATATCTACGCAGCTTTTGTTTCACAAAAAAAAAACCACTGCTGTGGCTTAATTTTTGTCTCACGATATAAAAAAAACATGCATCACAAATGCAGAGAAACTGCAAAGATTTACGAAAACTACATCAGTCTTTTCTCTTTATAGTATGAGAGAGGATTCTCTAAAGAAGCCCGGTCCGTATTATTATAATTGGCTGAATTAAAACCATTTACGGTACTTCACACACATTGTGTCAACAAGCGCCACCGCCGATTGTCTCTGACTTGCGCGGAACAATTAAGTTCTAATTTGCCTGAATGGGCCAGGGAATTACACAGTAGTTAACTTGAGTAAATAGCCCGGCGGGGGAACATTTAAAGTCGAGTGGACAACGTGGGTTGGCTGCAGTCCTCGACAAGTCGCAGAGGAAGGCGGAGAGATTGGAAAGTTCCCGAATCGTGGTCGGCGGAAGGTTAAGAGAGCTCGTCGTGCGCGTCACACCGCGGGCCAGCTTGTGGTTTAATTTTGCCACGTTTGCACAGCGCCCACTTGTTGCACACAGCTTGCGCAGAAAGTCGCAAGTGTCGTCCGTCTTTTATCATCAGACTTGCGCTGGTCGGACAGTCTTCTGCACTCTGTTTGGCTGCAGATTTCCAGGCCTCAGTCACAAGCTGTTCCACAGACTCCCTTTCCCGGCTGTTTTGCTAGCAAACTTTCGAGCACAAGTGTTGTTTTTAAGGCAAAAATCCTTCATTTTTTTCTCACAATGGAAGTTGTGCAACATAACGAGGATCAATACATTTTCAACGGCGCGTCCGACATCTCTACTCAGAACGGAGCGTCGGCGTCCTACCAAAACATGACGCCGCCAATGCCGGACTTTTACAGCGACTTCGACAACAGCACCTACAACTTCGCCAGTCTGGCGTTCGACCTGGCCGACCTTGGGGACTTAGCTGCCAGCGTCGACGTTCCTCTCTACGGCGGCGGCTTCCCGTCGGGCGACGCCGGGTACGTCCAAGGCGACGTCAACACGTACAGCCCCGCGTCATCCGGCGGTTCGAGCTACAGTCCTGACACGTACAGCCCGTCCAACTACACACCTAACAACTACCCACAAGGCTCCTACGATGTGCCAAGCCACGATCACGACGCGAACGCCGCCGTGGCGGGAACCTGGTCGTGCTGGACACAGCCAGTACCGCAACAAGCCGCCTACTTCGACGGGACGCAGGCCGCACAGGGTCTGTACAACTTCGGCGGGCAGCCGCAGGCACACGTAGGGTACGGACAGCCTCAACAGGGAAGCCTTCAACAACAGCAACAGGTGGGACATTTCTCTTTCTGTTATAATGTTCTGTTCTAGTGTTACGTGCATATTTGAAAAGTATACAGGTATGTACGTACAAGGTGTTCAATCCTTGCTCGCGATGATGTCAAATCCTACACAGTTGTACTAGTTCTTCTTTGGGGCAAAGATCGTCTATACCCCTAGGATACCACCAATTACTTAAGATAACATCGGACTTTAAGAAGGCAACAGACAAACTACAGAATCCAAAGCGTGTTCACTGAAAGAAGGACTTCAGTGAGGAACACAATCGATGAGAACATCGTCCACCTACTAAAGCCTGCCTTTTTAGTATCTCTAGTGATGAGAGACATCGTCTAAGAATTCTTCACTTGTTCCACCTCATCTATGTTGTAATTTTCGGGGTGTGGTTCCGTACAAATCACACTACGATAAAGTATGCTGATCTTGGAGTAATTTTGATTGGGAAAAGATGTGAAGTACGCCTGTTATGTGTGTTATGCGGCCAGTGCGACCCGGCGTGGGGAATCCTGCACACGCGAGGGGACATGACAGGAGAGGGAGGCGTGGATGATTACACGGTTTACTAATCACAAGAAGCACCGCTTTACACTATAGTATCGTAGAAAAAAGTAGCTCGAAGATTTGAAATGAACAGATCAGTAAACCAATTATAATGTAACTGTGCCGAATGTTTTGTCCGAGTGAGGTGGCTAAATCTCTGAATGAGGGTTTTAAGAAGGCCTTAGATACAGCTAACCAGCTTACCTACAAGAACGGCAGCTAGGAACACCTGGATTTATGCGTCTTAATTGTTAGATATCTACCTTGTGGCTAGGTGGGGATTAGTCAGAGTTAGTAAGAATAAATAAACACTGCGGTTTCCAAAACATGTTCTACTTGTTGCGAAGGAAATCTTCCTTCTACAGTTAGATATATCACCGTTTAAAAAAAACGTGAAAATAGTGAGATATCTTTTATTTCATGCATTGTGAGTGATCTTCGGCATTTCTGCTTCCAAACCAGCCCGGCCAGACCAAGCCGAAGACCCGGCGCCGCATCCCGACCGTGGCCCAGCGGAAAGCCGCAAACGTGCGCGAGAGGCGGCGGATGTTCAACCTGAACGACGCCTTCGACAAGCTCAGAAAGAGGGTAAGAGAGATAAAACTTAGTATTTAGCTGTTTTTACGTTACCGTATACCACCAATCGTAACGATTGGCATTTACTAATGTAAGAAACAGTCTTGCCAGAACTGCTAATACGTTTAAAATGAAACTGTGGCTCGTTTATCTCAACTTGGGTAAAAATAGGCTATTGTCGTACTATCATGACTAAACGAAGCCCATTTCTCCAGGTGCCGACGTTTTCCTACGAGAAGCGGCTGTCCCGTATAGAAACCCTGAGACTCGCCATCATCTACATCCACTTCATGAAGGACGTCTTGGCCGGGAAGACCGTCAGGTGAGCAGCTCATGTGTTCAGTCTTCTTCTTCTTTCATACTGCTTAGCCCAATATCAACAACATAAAAAAAATCCTTCTCCATTTGACGAATTGAAATTCCGTTTCCAGTGAGGCGGAGATCCGCAGTGTGCGGAGAAACCTGACCACGGCCATGCAGGCCGCCATGGGGGAGGAGAACGAGTCTCCGTCCGACGGGCTGTCAGAAACATCCGAGGGGCCCGCGTCGGTGTGAGCCTACCTGCCATCTAGCCTGGTGCCCAGTTTATCGTAATCTCCAATCAGATCTTTTGGTGGCTGCAAAGACAGAATCAAATTGGCCAGGCAGTATCCATTCGACAGGCAGTATCCAATATCGCCACCCAAGTACTGGGTACTGTCTGGCTAATTTGATACTGCACTTTGAAGCCACCAAAAGATTTGCTTAAAGACTATGAGTGTGAATACGATATCTAACCGGCCAGTATGCATGCCTTCATATTGCCGTACGTGTCAGAGATAATCTGTATGGTATCCAAGTATGTACATGTATTTATCGCTGATTGTATAGACGAAATCATATTCCGCTGCACGACTGTCAAAGTAGAAGTGCAAAGAATGCTTCTCTCAATCAGGTCGTTTGTAAAGTGTCCTGTAGTTTTATGTGCGTAAAATAATTAATGCTCAACAAAGAGTAAACGTGTACGTATGTCAGCAATGCTTTTTGCTCTATGTATGTCTTTATTCGAAAAGACCTGATATAGATTATATAAGGAATTGTCAATTGTTGCTGAGTGATTGTATATATATAAAGAGATTGATAGTTTTGATGTACCTGATGTTGTAGAATTATTCAAGCTTGGTATCGTGATATGTGTTGGCATGTCTGAATTTCTGTGTCGCAATATTTAAATGAATATTTACTTCTCACCAAATCCTATCGGCACGACTCAGTCGACGTCAGAATTGTTGTTACTAGTATTCAAACTGAAGTGAGGTTTGACACGTCCTTTTGTTTCTATATTTGCTCATGAGTACGGTTGAGCCGGAAAAAAACAGCTCACCAGTGGTAACAATTATAATGAACTTGTTCCTTTCTTTCGAATGGAAATAAAAATTGCGTGGGAACTCCACTCGTCTTTTGTTTCCTGTTTGCCGTTCTGATATCTGTGACCCCAGAAGACCGGAAATGTGAACATCAAGGTTTAACTTTTTCCTGTTAGAAAATAATCTTTACTCTGGCCTGATTTTTTATTTTTGGATTTATTATGACCGTTGATTCTATATTCGAAATATGATGTAGACCTAACTTAACAACGTGCAACGAAAACTTATGCTTCAAATGGCCATAAAATAATAAAAAATACGTTTAAAAGATTCGTTATTTGTCTATGAAAAGTTACACAGTGGACGCAGCCTCGAGTGAATAGTAATTTGATTATAACACTGACAACAAGTACAAATAACGCACGCAACAATAACTGATACGACTGTGTGTTGTTTATTTTCCACTCGATTCTACATGCGAGTTATAATCTGACCTAGTTCGTACAGAGGAACAAAGCTCTGCCAACTTTTTTCTCTTGCTACTGTACGCCCATCACGACGATTCAGAAAGTCTCCTAAGTTTAGCCGAACAAATATTTTCTTTGCGTCACTGTTACCCGTGTCTTGGATATGTCATGGAAAACAAACTGGGCATAACAATGGAACAGGCAAGAAACGCGTGACAATGATTTCCTGGTTTCAAACGCAGAGCAAAGTTCTAGAAATCATTTCATAAAAATGGACGCATGATTCAATTACCTAGATCACAGTATGAAAATCCCGTTATGCTGTACAAATGTCGTTCTGTGCGTGTCTTTCACCGGTATATTACGACCACAATGCCAACAACAATACACTAGTGATTAATTCCCCACCCTTCCATTGTGAGAACATCGCGCGCCCCGCCCTAAGAACACACGCGCATTCTTCCCACCACAAAGAGTTCAAGAAGACGAAAATAACGGGTTTTCCAACTCATCTCCCCGTTTCCTTATTAGAGCGTATTTGTGAGGGTGGAGAATTGTACTGGAGTGTTTGCCGTTGAGCTGGTGCGTTGTCCTGTATAGAACAGGCTCTCATGTCCTTTGTGCTACTGTGTACGGGGAGGGGCAGCGGCAGGCCAATAATAACTCCGACTACACTTCATGTCGGATTTAAAGGGCTCGAGATTAAACATTCCCACGTGCATTTTCTACTGTCAAAGTGCTCTCCGTTTATAGAAGCGATATTCTGTTCTGTACAGAATGTCAGAAACAATGCAAAACGAAACTAAAATACTAGTAAGTGTGAGCCACAGTCTTTGCCCTTTGAGTAATGCTGATAAAAAATGACACAGTATCTTTGGTCTCTCTAAGACTAAGAGAACGGAAGTATTTCTCAATTTGCGGTTGCACAGTGCGGTTGTTACAGTGTAAGCCCTTAGGTACTGTACTTTGTTATTTCCTTCATTCTATGTTTTGAATCAGTGCACAACACAACACCACAAATACAATTTACCAGCAGTGTATATTGTCTGATACCTTCATTCTGTGATTAACACACTCTGTTCCAGTTATAATGGATGAGAGAACAGCCTTTGTGTCGAGTTTGTACCACAAATTAAGCCGCTGATTGTTCGTCAAGTGGCTTGTGCGGCGTGCCTCATTGCACCCTCTGTTCCCTGACTTCACACACACAAGGAGCAGTATTTGTTGTGATCATTCCAGGGAAATGCGTGACATCGCAACACGTGGTTTCCGCTAGGACGTTTTTGTGTTGTGTGAAGCACGTGTTTACAGTGACACAATTCACAATTTGGCACTAAACTACCGCACTTTAAACTGGTTTCAAAATGGAAACATGAAATTAGACACCTCTAGCTCTGTGATAGAAAAACATGCATCTGGAAAAGATGTCACATACAGGGAGGCAAGTCTATTGTCTTCCGAAACGTAAGCTATTCTTTAACAAATCAATCAAATCTAAGGAGACAAATCTTCTCGCCTCGGTGAGTCCTTCATGACAACGCCGCTGTACGCCACCGTCCTTGGTGCTGAAAGGTTATTCTCGTCCGCCGCTTTCCTTCCTCACATCACTCTCACTCTGAACTACATAGAATTTGCGTTGGTCTTTCTCTGGCATTTGGCACATCGGAGCAGAGAAGTCTCCGTAATGCACCAACGTTCGCAGTCGGGGACTGTCGAGAAGCTTCGAACTGGGTCCGCTTTTGATTTTCTCTCAGACTCTCGCCAAACAAAGATGCAGGCATCGCTCCGAACCCTGAACGGCTTTCTTTTACCGCCCTCGGAGTGCAACTCTTAAGGACCAAGTAGTCTATTTGAAGCTCCTTGTAAGGACGGAGCAGGGCTTCTGCCAAGAACCCGTAACTGTCTCGGGTTCCCTTGAGTGGCATGTCTTCTCACCTACGTGGCCTCTGCCACTGTGTAGACCTGTACGTTTGTGAGGCGCCATCTTGCCAACTCCGCTGGGCATCAGACCAACTGTGGGTCGCCGCGAATCTCCGGGGTAAGAGGCCAATATAGCCAAAGTAAAGTAGAATATACAACAAAAGCCTGAGCCACAGGTGATCGGCCTTGAAATGCAGTTCTGGCTGCTGTGGAGACCTGGTCCAGGACTTGAAGTTGCTCTTCGGCATCAAGCCGAACACCTTCATCTGGTTCATCTGGGAGAGGACTAGTCCATCGCTGCCGTCGGTGAAGGAAGCAACGGGTGTGGATTCTTCGGATGCGGTTTTCTCATCATCGTCAGCAGCAGCAGCCTGGGCAGGAAGCCGAGCTGCATCCCCCTCTCCTGGCCCTTCCTTGTTCGCCTCGCCTGGTGCTCCGGACTCAGACCCCCTCTCTGACTCAGCTGCAGTGACGTCGATCCTGGTCAGGACTCCGGCTGGAGTCTTACTATCCATGATACTCTGGTGCAAACCGATCTTCTCAACATTACTGGCATCTGCGGCAACCCGCTCAACTGACTCCGCTGACTTCTGGGGTTGCTTGTCCATCATCTGATGATTAAAAAGGGTTTCTAAATTGTTGTTTGCTTTTTTTCAGGGAAAAAAACGTGACTCTGGATGCAGAATAGTCTAACTTAGCGTCTAGAACGTCGGTATTCTAGAACACGTTTTCAGAACTAACATTACTAGGTATATAGTATTACATGTATTATTCTTGCAAAATTCCTATACAACCAGCGAAAAAGACAGACGTTAATTTCACCTACAGTAACATTTTCTGACTTGACAACCACAGAAAGGCTGACCTTGTATACCCCTGCGGTAAGGAGAACGCCAGCTCCCACGGTTAACCCAGCTCCCTTCCAACCAGCCTGTCCAGAACACCCATAGGCGAAATTGGGTTTTAAGCAGTTAACGTTTGGACCGCGTTTCTCATCAGGGCGCGATGGAAGCGTACACAGTCGTGTCTGCATCGCCGCCATTTCTGGATCGGCCAATAACAAATAAAGGATACTAGAGTTAACGGCATAGGTGTTTGTGTCTTTCAAAGAAAAAGGCATGAACCATACTTGGGTGAACTGGTCACTATTTCTAATTTCGGGGTAGCATAACATGTTTAGATGTAAATAAACATTACTGACATAGTTATAAATCATCCAACGTTACAGGCATTGAAATACATCCCTGACGGAACCACGACTGTCCTGTGTATACTGGACGTGTGCTTTATAGAACTGTTGTGCCAAAGTTGGTCTAAAAAATACGTCAACCTGCTTACCTGCTACTGGTCTCGTCTTTGAGCAGAGCCCCAGGCCAAACCCTGGGTTCACCCTCGCTACTAAGGACATGGCTGTTCTGACGGTCTGCATTTTAGCGTATTTAGTTTAGAATTTGCGATTTAAAAAAATCGGTAAGTTAGACTCAAATTATTCTCTTACTGAGCAGTCAAATCGCCGCGTGGCTGTCGACACTACAATTCAAGAGAATGTTTTGTGACAACCGCAAACAATCAACAAAGAAATTGTTGCCTGGGAACAACAATCGCTGATTGTTCGATAATTTCCGGTAAGAATGTGAACTTCCGGCGTTCGCGAATCTTGTCTGAAAATGACTTTTTGGACATCCTCTTAGGTGATTGTGTGGTTTGATTTTTCCATAGACGGCGCATAATACTATCATACGCTGCGCCGATAGTTCGAACTTGGAGCAACAGTTCTTCAGAATAAAACTTTGACTTTGCATGACCGACGTTCAGTCCTAATTACGAAAAATCACGTTCTAGAAAATGTTCTAGAATAAAGTTTCCCTAACGACGAACAGCAACACACCTGACACGCCGCTTTCAACACAACAACTTTCAACACTCCACTAGAAACAAGAGGAATACATGGACGGCATGTTTACATGCATGTTTACCAACCTCTGCCTCAGTTAATAACAACGATATCCCATATGTATAGAAGAGAGATGTTTGATTCCTTTGGTGGGGAATGCAGGGTCAGTAAGGACAGCGAGGGAGACGAGGGGGGACAGGAAGAGAACCAATCAGAAGAGAGAGCTATTGTAGACGATGTTGTATTGGTGGTAGGACTGAACAAGGTGGAACTACGCTGCAGTTGGTACGTCCTGGCAGAAGCAAGTCAGTACTTCAGGTAAGGGAAGTACACTACACTGTGTAGTGTTTCAAAAAATTGTTTTCTCGTCATTTTTGCGAACTTTTTAAAAAAAANATTGTAATTGTACTAAAATATACATGTACTCGATATTCCACAGGGACATGTTCTGTGGTCGTGACTGGAAGGAGAGCAGGGAGAAAACAGCTGTGATCTCTGACGTAGAGCCTGACGTCATGACGCTCGTCCTGAAAGCGGCCTACGGAATGAAGATCGAGGAACGAGAGCTCCAGGGCCTGATGGCGGCCCGACCACGCCCCTGCAGTCTCGTTCCCAGCCTGTTCATAGCCGCCGACAGGTTTCAGTTCACTGCCCTGAAAGAACAGTGTGAACGGCGGCTTATTGCCGAGCTGGACGAACTGAACTGTGTCCCTCTCTGGCACCTGGCTAGACGGTTCTCCGCTACATGGTTGGAAAACAAGGCCCTGTCTCTGATATCCCGAGAAACGGTTAAAGCGAACGAGCTCCGAATTTCTGCCATGTTACGGTCCATTCGAGCTCGATGACATGATACCAAATCGTTTTTAACTAGTAATGATTCCATTTGGCTCACTCTAAAATAACGGAATTTAGAAAGGCAGATACAATACACAGTGACAAATGTCTTGTATTTAAACAAAGCAGTGAAATTGTCGAGTTCCTGTAGTTACTGTTCACAAAAAAATAGACAGTACAGAAAGAAGAAGGCATCAAGTGTATTCTGTATTCTTTCAATAAGCTGAGATACATTGTATGTACAAAGGAAACAGTCAACCAGGCAAGGGCATAGATAACAAAATCTATCATTCTGAAGTCCATAAAGATATGACTACATGACAACAGGATAGGACAGCAAGTGATTATGCTTTCCCTTTAAAGGTTGTACTCTAAATAATATTTATGCAAACAAAACACCTGCTCACATGGACAAAAATGGCACCTGGAAATATTTTCAAGACTTGATACCATAGAATTTCTTTCCTTCAGACAATGTAGGAGAAGGAGACTCTCCAATTTCTTCCAATTTATTATTTGCTATACGCTAACTTCCATGACTCTACCATTGGAATTTGTGCTGTCATTTACCAACATTCAGGAACAATTGTAAGGATTATGGTATATAATACAGTGCTAGAGCACACTATTACAAAATGGCACTCCTTCAATCTGTGAAGGCCATCATTCACTCTGCAAGGCTTGTTTGATGTCTCTCCTATATCCCTTATGTAGAAAAACTGATCAAGTAGATAGGGTACCAATTTGAAAAGCAAATATTCCAGTAGGATGTAGATAACATTAGGTCTGCTTTGCACACGCTGGCATTCAGGATGAAGAACAACTGTACTCTCCAAGCAGAGGTTAGGCTTCTGCTTATCTTTTACTTGCTTTTTTAGGCATTTTTATTGGGCTTTCTTTTTTTTTGTCCTCATGTCTTTTTTTGTGCCAGCCCATTATTGGGTGCCAAACGGTAACTGCCTTGTAAATATATACTGACTGGCCAATTTAAAACTGTCTTTGCAACAATCGAAAGATCTGCTTGGAGATTAGAACAACTTAGCAGCTAAAATAGCTCACTATGGATAGGCAAAAGGAATCATTGTTAGTGGATTGGAACAATCATATGAAGCAGAGTCGTGTTGGTGATAATAACAGACATGACAGGTAGGGAGGGGGGTCTCATATCTCCCATTTCTTGAACTCCATCCCGTCTGGTGGTTTCATGTCCACCTTCTCCTTGCCGATGTCCTTCCAGTTGGTGCTGAGGACTGTTCCACCTGACTCCGACCTGGGGGGGGGGGCACAACAACATTACCTGCTACTGGTCTCGTCTTTCATTCAGGTTTTAATGTCTCAAAAATATTCTTTTCTTGAGCCTTACAGTGAAGGTATCTCCATTTACAATAACGTCAAAAACATCCAAAATTTGGGGCAAGTCCCAATTCACTGTAGTTAGTGTTGAAATTAAAGCTTAGTCTTTATTTCTCATACTGGTTTTAAATATGGGAGGACTTTGAGCAATAAGGTCTGCTAAACAATTAAGCTGAAGTGTTATATATGTATAATGAAGTAAACATACAAACGACTTGTTCATTGCTTTCCTGACTTCCTCATTCCCGTCAGAGTAGATTTGTTGGAAGAACTGGTTCAGTGCCGCATCTCCCTCAGTCTTCTCCTCCTTCTCCTCCTTATTCACATCTGCTACGATCTTGTTCCAGTCTCTCTTGAAGTGGCTGGAGGACGGGTACTGTGTGACACCGCTGGCTCCCTCGTTACCTGTGGAAAATAAATGTAGCTACTGAAGGGACTGGGCAGAACTCATGTACGCACTTACCCTAACAGGCTATTGTGTACAACTGTAGATGTAACAAAGGTTACATGAAGACCAAGAACCACCATATAAACCAAACAATTTAAAAGAAAAACAATTACAAAACTACTGTGCCAGATACAAAGTTATTGTGCAGTATATATGGGTGATTTTTCATGTTCAGATTTTGCCTTATAGAATGTAAAATAAAGCAATGTACTGATACCTTCCATTCAGCAAAGCTGTGCTGATGATTTTTATTCTCTAACATCCTGACTCCTTTGGAGGGGAAATGACTTGATCTTCAACAGGAAAACAGCCAATGATAAAGTAAGACCTGTAGGGTCTGGTCTTACTCAGGGTTCAAAATACCCACTCTCGTACTCTTGCCGCTCAAGTCATGTTTTCTGTGCGAGACTTGTGGGAGACACCAAGTTGCCCGGCGCGCAAGTTACCTTTTTTTGCCTACAAAGCGACCTTGTCTGTTCCAATGGTATAGTTTGCTTACCAGACGTCCACTGTGCGTACTGATACGGCCTCCCGTCCCCCTCCAGACACTGCCACCTGATGCCTTCAGACTTCTTCATCTTCATCTCCACCTTGGTGCTCAGGACCTTGGTGATGCACTGTTCCTTCACGATGGGGTGGGCCAGATCAAGGTCTAACACATAGTCTGCCCCACTGGGCTGTTTAAACACTGCACTCAGCTATTAAGAGAAGAAAGAAATTATTTTACATATCTAAATATTACAATGATTTTACACTGTTCTTGTGCTGTGGCTTTTAATTCCAATAAGATTAAGACTAGCAATAACAAATATTCTGACTGTACTAGTAGCCAATTCATTTACAACATACAACATGCTTTAAGTTATGTTACCAAAGAAAAGATTTGTGAGAAGTACCGTGGTAGTGTCATAGTCTACTTGGACATCTTCCTTCTTCAGCCCTTTGATCATGACTGTGACGATGACATGGGTCTCTGTCTGGTACCAGTCATGTCTGCAATAAAGGAAACATAATACATGATGTAGTGCTACAATCTGCAAATGACTAAATCTCACTCCTGGCAGGCAAGAAAGAAAGTCGAGCCTTTGATCTGTTGTTATTCTTCCTGAGAAGGGGGTCATTAACCTCTGCCAGTCAGAGCTTTTGTAAACACAGGCTACTGCAGATGCATGAGCACTAATGGTCTCAACACTGCCATCTAGCAGCTACCTCTAGAACTGCAAGCTTTAGCATCACATTCAGTGTCTGCTTTCGATATCCTATCATATTTTCCAGGTTATTCCTGCTGTGCTGCAACAGACAATAATCAAAATGATTGACAGTACCTCTTTGAGACAGGGGGAGGGGCTGCTGCTTGTGGCTGGGGTTGATTGACAGGCTGAGGGGCGGGGCTACTGTCTCCTGCTGCTCCAACCAAGGGCTGGGAAAAAGTAACAACTTTAAAGTTTGAAAACAGGCCTCTTTCATTCAAACAGGCATCTTTCATACCTTTAGGTCAGAATAAAATATGTGCTAGCTTAGCAGTTGGTGTATAATAAATGGAAAAAGGATCTTTTCTTGAGTTTTCACAACAAAAATCAAACATATGGCAAAAATGAAGAAATCTTTTTCAGTCTGTGATACCTTGCCATCTTCAGCCACTGTACCAGACTCTTCCTTCTCTTCCACTGCAACACAATATTTTCGTGTCAAAATCTTCACTGTAAATACAAATATCTTTAACGTCCAAATTTTACTTTTAGAATCAGTTTTGAATGAACTTATCATAAGAAATTCAAATGGCAAAAATCTTCAGCAGTGTGTCATTATGTTGGCTCACAAACAAAACTTGTCACTCACAGTTCAAGTTCGCATCACATTTCCTGATCCATCTTACAAAGAGAGGTTCAGAACCTGTAAAGTAGTGCAGTGTGATTAGAAACACCTAAAATATCTACCTTACATTTATCATACATAATTTAATGCAGAACACCAGTACATCACATATATCAGTAGTTGGTGTATGATCCCTTATGAACCCCTTCTAACTACATTGTACCTACAATAGCATCTAGCGTGACAATGACAAGGTTAGAGAGAATACATGTAAAGAAGATACCTACTATCTAACTCTTGTCCTTTCACAAAGGATTCTCTTGCTGACTCAAATTCATCCAGATAGAAACTGGCAACCCTGAAAAGAATAAAAACAACAAAAGTCAGATATGATATTCAATAACAAGTAAACAATGTGAATCAATATGAAGTTCACTTGGTATTGCAATACACAGAACAACTAACCCTTTTCTGAGATGAGCCTTCGAGCTGCTGGGCTCTAACTCCACTGCTTTTGTAGCATCTGTCACAGCATCTAGTCAGTAACACAAGAAATTTATTCTCAGTATGAGATGACAAATGTCACAAGGGTAGGAACAGGGTTGGAGGCATTTTGGATTTTGTGTTACTCTTGGTAACACATTGGCAAAATTATGTGTTACCATGGTTACCAAGAGTTCTCTATTTTTCCCTGAATGTGAAGCGATACGGGATATGGCCAGGGTAGATGGAGGAATACTACCGTAAATGCATGTACTTTTTTGCAGTTTTTTTTTTTCAGTTTTAATCTACTGTAGGAGGGAAATGGCAATTAAAACATATTCTGTAGTAAAGTAGAAATACAAAATACATGTTTGTGGTGATATCTATGATTTCACGATTAGAGGTCACAGAGAAAACCCCGACAATAAAAATACCGCAAACATGTCAAGATTTACAGTTTTGTTACATACCCATGTACTGTTCCAACTTGATATACGTCTGAGCCCGTTTGGTGAAGTATTCTGACTTCTCTCCATCTAGCTCAATAGCCTTGGTGTATAACTGTGTAAGTAGTCATCAAAGAACAACATAAGGAAGAAAATGAGTTATTACATTGTCATGAATTATTAAGATATTCACCTTCTACATGTAGTGTCTTTAATATGCTTCAAGCAAGTCATGGTCAGTAAGTAAGACTAACTTTATATTCCCTTTTATAATTTTTTGTGAAAAAACAAAAACAGAAAAATTTTAGCCTACCTCCACTGCTTTCTCATAGTTCTCATCGACGAACGCTTCATTCGCCTGACTGAAAATAACAACCAACAGACTCTAAAAATATCTGTTTGACGAGAGCACAAGTTCAAAGACCAATCAACATCAATAAAGTCATAAAATCGTGACAAAATCGATGAAATAAACAAATACCCAAACACTTCGGCGGCCATTTTGATTTTCTAGACTTTTCTCGCGCAAAGCATGGTTGGTAATTTGTAACCTCTGACCTCTGCGTAACGTAAGGAAACCTTAACCTTGAAACAAAGACATTCGTCTGGTAAGTGTGAAGGTCAAGAAACATTCTGGACAATTTTAGGTTATGGTGACGTAAAAACTCAAGTGGCGAGAGGACAAGAATCCTCGCTTATCTGTCGTGACGTCATGGTTACGTCATCAGACAGGAAATCCCCACATTTTCGCGCCAACCCAATGAGTTGCCCCGTAACGTGACGCTTAATCATTCCTTAACCGCGTTGTTTTATGTATATATATGTTCGTGACTGCTATATTTAGTATACTAGCTACTCACTGCTTCACATACAGCACGTACAATCACGGCCGCCAAGGACCAGGTAACGAAAACTTCTCTTTATTTATTAACTGTGCTAGCAAATTATTGTGGCTCTGTTGATCAGCATTATCTAACATCATGATATCCGGGATCCCATAATTTGCATAAGGAGTTCCGCATTTTCTTTCATAATGAAGTCTAAACTAGAGTACTGAAACGTTCTTTCTGTCTACTGCAACCAGAAAGGTTTGTACTAACGTTACATGTCCCTACAAAACATTTAGTAGCTCTTTAGTTGTAACGTTAGAAGCTATGGCAGTTTGATAGTGTTCATTGTGTAACGTTAGATCATGGGGGTAAAAATCACATTTTAGATAAAATTGTTGTAGCAATACATTTTTAATTGTTTCATTTTCAGAAACTTGCTGGCAAATTCTATGGAGATCTTGAATCAAACGCATCAACCGTTGCTTCCGCACCTTCTCACCACCCCAAGACATCCTGTTGTCATGGCAACATCATCTCTATCATCCAAGGACAAGCTCCTTGGTTCATGTAAGCAGGCGCTGAAGGACCAGCCACCTTTACTGAAGAGGCCGTTAGTTTCAGTGGCTGGAGCAGAGGGAGGAGGGAGACAGGGAAATGTTTTTCGAGTGATGCAATGGAACATCCTGGCACAAGGTTAATATTACACTGTAATGTTACTATTTATAATAGATAAGAGCTGAATACGATCATGTTGTCCATTAGATCATACATGTAAATTTATACATGATAGAACTCTTTTAGGGAATTTCTAATAAATATTGTCTTCTAAATCTAATAACCTTTTAGTTTAACTACAAGTGTCATAATTTGTTAAGTTTTTTAATACATCCAAACATTGCCTATGTTCAATAATATTACAATTTTACAGCTACATGACTTAAAATTGTTGTTTACAAAGAACTGTTTATAGTTTACTGCAGGGCACAGTCGGGTATTGTCATAGTTCTGGGACAAACATCTCAGGAATGGCCAAATTTAGCTTTTGTCTCATGTTTAACAAAACTGTGTGACGTTAGTAATGTAGCAAATGACATCACACGTGCGTGCTACAGGAAATATGTTTGCATAATCATGATGATTGTTGTAAATTATGCCGGGGCTTTTTCTAATTTGCTGTTTCCACTTTCTACTTTGCTGCTGAACCTTTCCTGGTTTGTTATTTCAATCTACCTGGCCATCTACTAGAATATTTGGCACTTTCGTCTCCTCTCCACATAACCTTTGACAGGAATGTGATTTTATTCTGTTTATGTTCTATTCTCCAGCACTTAGCCAAGCAGACGACAGTTTCGTCCGTTGCCCACCGGCAGCGCTCAACTGGGATGTGAGGAAGTTCAGAATCCTGGAAGAGATCCTCGCCTATGGCGCAGACGTCCTGTGTTTCCAAGAGGTCGACCACTACCACGACTTCCTGGAACCTGCCCTGAAGAGTTTAGGTTACCACGGACTGTTCTACCCCAAACCTGACTCTCCTACACTCTACTGCCCCAATAACAACGGCCCAGATGGCTGTGCTCTCTTTTTCAGGAAGGAAAAATTCTTGTTAGTCGATGCAGATGGAATTGTTTTATCTTCCCGTGGTTGTGAAACAAACCAAGTGGCTTTGTTTGCCAAGCTGCAGTTCTCAGATCCATCCACAGGGGGCGCTAAGCCCTTTGTTATTGGAGTGACCCACCTCAAGGCAAGGAAGGGGTGGGAAAGGCTTCGATCCGAACAGGGTAAAGATTTACTGAAACAGACACAGAAGTTTTCTGGGAAGGGTACGCCCGTCGTTCTGTGTGGTGACTTCAACGCACAACCAGCAGAAGACGTGTACAGTGTGTTGAGCAAGAGTAAGATGAAGTTAAACAGTGCGTACAAGAGTCTGAGCGCGGACGGAACGTCAGAACCGGAGTACACGACGTGGACGGTCAGGACGGACGGGGAGTGGCGCCAAACGTTAGACTACATCTGGTTCTCCCAGGACAAGTTTCAGGTGGAAACGTTAGTGGACATCCCGACAGAAGAGTTGGTCGGAGAGACACGGTTTCCTTCTCATACTTATCCATCTGATCACCTGTCCCTGGTGTGTGACTTCAAGCAGGTTTAGGAACACGTCTTTTCAATGTGATGTTCACCAAAGTAGTGTAACAAGCAATAAGATAAAGCTGTAAACCTCTTAACTTATTCAAAGTCTCGATTTTATGGTAGGTTTATTTATTTACTGAAAGTATCAATCTTTTATGATTTTAGCTCTGGAGTGAAGTGTGAAATCATGTACATGTACCAGTATTTAATTTAAGAGATGTTAAACCTAAAAATATTAAGATAGAAAGCAGGAGGATTCTATAATTTGTTTACTTTGTAGACACGAACTTTATAATGTCAAGAACAGTTACTAGTATATGAAGTACATATATTATATACGATAACATACATGTACACACCATGTGAAAGCAGGGAACGCACTAGAACATAGTTAAAGAAATGGTAGCAAGGTTGCAAAAGTGATCTTACTATTTTTCAGTGTGTATATTAAGGAGGGAAATAAAAGTCAACTCTCATCTATGGTAACACATACATTTCACCCAGGACACCCATACAAAATCGCTTTTTCTCGAGTGTACAAACGTGTACATGTATTTGTAAAAGCTTCATGTTGTTCATTCTTGGTAGACGATAAATACTTGGTGTCACTTGCCATTGTGAGTCCTAAAGTGGCTTATCAGTCCAATCCTAACACAGGATAATCTGCCATGGACTATGTTATGTCTATATATATCAAGTAATCACACAACGTTGATAAACATTTCCCAAACCAAAGTGGTTCTTTATTTAACATTACAACAACAACAAAAGAACACATGTTCTTAGACCTGGATACTAAGTCAAGATGCAGGAAAATAGGGTTCTATCTACCATAGCAATATGTACAATGCAGGGTTGCAAATATCTTAACTACAGTCAAAAATTCACTCAAAATAGTTCCAAAGTCTAGGTTATCTTAAACTTCGTGTGAAATGAAAGTCCATTACATGGAAAAATATTAAATTTCTTACTTACATCTTTTAAGTATCTATTGCTGTATTTTTCTGCTTATACCTTTTGAATTGATGTCACTATTTGTACAGACTTCTATTTGATACATACTGATGAAAAGTGGTTGCTACTTGGAACATTAAACCAAGTCAACATGTGCTGAACTGACTTGTATTGGACCAAGGTGCAAGATGAACTATAAATACTATAGATTGTATTTCTCCTTTTCTTCCAAGAATGATTTGCATCACAAAATGTACAAAAGATGCTATTGAAAGATTGCTTCATGAATTGAAGTCAAAATACAAGTTTATCTGAGTTTGTTGGTATAACAATACTGTTAGCACAGAAATATCTTCAGCAAAAATGAGACGAACTGTCGAGAAGAATAGTAAATGTTACATGTAGGAACAGTGAAAAAGTATCCGATCATTCCCGTCACAAAATTACGTTCCCCTCAGAATATTATTCTTGTTTTATGCGTACAAGTATGGTGCACAAGTTCAAAAGTGTGATAAAACAATCTTCTAGCTAGAAAAAAGAAAAGGAGTGTAGTTGGTCCATTTGTTAAGTTCAATGAACTACAAGGTTAGACAATGTATCGTTTGGAAATAACATTTCTGTCAATGTGCCATTTTACTTACAGTTGGAGTTGATATGTGCATTTGTGGCACATGGTAGCTAGCTGTACATCGTTATTATATTCATTACTTTTTCGTCAAAGGCATCCCTTCATTTTCAAGGCATACCTACATTAAATTCCTCTTTTTGCTGTTAAATGCATACACTACATGATGACACATTGGTTAATATCATTTCTTGTAGGTCTCTTTACCTACAGAATCAAGACACACCATAATGTGAGTAACAGCAACAACAAAACATCACTACACACACTGCACCCTCAAAGGGAAAAACTTTTTAAAAACTTTTGGACCACACACACACATCTAATAATATAAAACATGGAAGAACAACAGAAATCCATACGAGGGTTAACTGACGATTGTGATAATTTAGTTCATAAAGGTTGGAAACAATCGCTCTACTTTATACAGTACGAGATTTCCCTATCTCACTGAAGAACATCCGACTTGTTACTGAATGTGCGAGTCTGTGACTGCTTCAGAGGAATTCTGGGAAGGATGCCCAAATAAGGCAATACACTGCAGTTTAAATTTCTCCGTCAGTTCTTTGTGAACGTTATCTCCATTTAGATTGTTGTGTATATTTTCCAAATTTTTTAATATGATTTGGTTACAGTGTTTCTTTTCCATCATTCCCAGAAGTTTCCTAGTTTTCGAAGCAGAGGTATCACCCATCATATTTACAAAATAGCCAGTATTTACACAGACTTATCAATGCACAAGTTCAGGAACCATTCAACTTGGTGTCCAACACATACAGGTACTGGCAACAATAAGCATCAAAACTCTACGTGGAACAATAAATATTTTTCTCTGTCTTATAAGGCCTGTCTACATGATTGATTGTTCTACATTATCTTACTTTTCTGATCTATTTCCTTGTATTACATGTATTTTAAGTGGGAAGGAACCAGCTTCACAATAGTGAGAACACAAAAAATAAGTTTTTTTTTCTTCTTTCTTCTCCTGTATCATATTCTGGGCAAGATTATTCAAAAATACACCACTCGAATGTTTCTATTTACAGTCAACATTACAGTCTTTGAATGTTTCATCTTGTTCTTTAGTGGGATAAACTGGTTCCATTTTTATCCTGTCATAATTTTCCAAAGAGCATCAACATTTACAAACAAATCAATGTGTATTTGTAGCTCAAAGACTTTTTTTCAGTTAATAGCAATTTTGGGTTTCCCAGTTTTGTTACTCAAGAAAATGGTATGGAGAAGAAATACTTAATAGCCACTGGGCACAAAAGAATTAATAACAAGCAACATGACAATCACTGTTTCTAATGAATTCAGTACATAATCGACTTATAATCATACAAATCTTTCTCTGTTCACTTATAGTCACAACAGAGGTAGAGACAGGATAAGAAATTGTCCAGGTTATCCCAAAGGAATCATACACACCTCCACAGTAGCCTATCTACATGAAGGAATATATGTGAACCCACTTATCAAGTGGTAGAGTCCAGCACAAGTCCAGATTCTATACTACGGAGGACTGCTCCACTCAGACCAGGGGGGTAGACTGTGTAGGAGAAAGGTCATGTGTGCTGGTGGGTTCACTCGGAGGTGACCATGTTCTCTACCGTTGTCTCCAGGGCCTCCACGTCAACAATGTTCTTTGGCACCTCCTTGAACTGGTAGACAAGACGCTGGCCGTCCACCTTAGCAAGGATCCCTCTCTGGTAATAGTACCTTAAAGGAGTAGAGGATAGTCTTAAGAACAATGTGTGACATAACCAATACTCCTACACTACACTATCTGATCTGTTGAGAGGCCATCTACCATTGGTTGGTTACATACATGTTGCAATGCTGTTAATATTTCTGAGAACTGATTTTGCTTGAGGGATAAAAGTTTTAAAAGGGTGGTTGACAAGATGGAAGAAACTCAGAACAAGAGCATGTTTCCCTTTCTTCTATGGGACATGACAAGTATATACACACATAAGATGTTATATGTCAGGATTTTTACCTCAGAGCTCTCCCCATGGTTTCGTAGTTCATGTCAGGCTTGTTTTTGTGCTGACCCCACAGTTTGGACACGGCTTTGGAGTCCACCAACTTGAAGATGCCCTTCTCCTTCTGCGTCCACTTGATGATCTTGGGACAGGTGTCCTTGTTCTGTAACAACTCCAGCAGGAACTCCCACAGGTAGATGGTGTTACCTGCAGGGGGAGGGGGGCACAGGGATCAGTCTGTTGTTTTACTATGGAAGGACTTTGACCTAAACATTAAGCATACATTGCAGTACAGTAGAATAACAACATGCAGCAGTCTCCCCATTCAGGTTTTGACCACATAGGTATCAGTCAGGACACAGGTATCAGTCTAAATTCATAATGAAAGGGGGATTGGTACTTGGCTGTTGCTATAGGGTAGGTGGCTGTAAAAGTACAATTTGGGGAAAGGCAGCATTTGATAAGTGAAAGGTATCTGCCTACTGTTGCATGACGAAAGCAACTCATTTTCCAACATGTCTATGGCATACTATACTGACCTTCTCGTCTTCTCTTCATGGGAGGGGAGGACACACCGTGCTCCGGGCTGCCTGTATCGCTGCCACTGCTGCTGGTGGGGGACTTTGGTCTCTGAGTTTTGGGTTTGCGGGCTGAGGGACAAGAAGAGAAGCAACATTTATAACCACATCAAACATGTATCAATGCTGTGGTTTAAGTGTACAGCTCTCAAAACGTGACACGAGAGAACACATACATATTCAGATCCAATCAATGATTTCATTTGTATAACACTTGAACTAAGTGGACTTTGACACTACCTAAACATTGAGCATACATGGTCCTCAATAGATTGCAGTAGAAAAACAATTTGCTCGTTCAGATTTCACCACATACTTGTAATGTAAACATGTTTGCTGCAGTAGGCAACAGCCATCAATTAGACTTACCATTTGTATATATGATAATAAATGCTATTTTGGTTCTGTTGGCAGATTCATGTTTCCAAAATATAGCTGAAGAAATTAATAGTGCTTCCTGCTCTATTCAGTTGCAATAAATTATACACAGTAATATTTTGGAAATTTTACATCAGACTGTGAATCACCATCCCAACTTTTAACCACAATCACAGAACAAATCAGAGACCTACTTCCTTCTTTACCATAAGTAAGTTTCTGAATTCAAATATTCTATCTCTGCTTGTCTTTGCTATTAAAAGAGGACTATCAATATATAAAAAAGGAAAAAAACTAGACCTGGTAGTATATCAAATATGCATGTCTAACAATGGAAACTGATTTTCTTAGCTATTTTATTAGCCTCATTTAGACTTAACATTTGTCTGAAGTGTGATATTGTGTAACTGTTAAGACAGAACAGGGTTTAAGTTTGCAGTTTGAATCTCAGCCAAGCTGCTGTTTTTCTAAACCTTGTTCTGTACACTAACAGAAGTTGCATTCTACAAGCGAGACAAAATGTGGAGCTCACGTTTCTTGACTTTCTTGGCCTTGGGTGGTGTGACAGGCAGCGCTGCCGTGGCCAGCTGGGTGGGCATGGTCTGGACCTGAACACTCTGCATGACGGGGGGGACCTCCACGCACACGTCCGGCCTCATGGCGACCTGCGGCGGCCCCGCGGCACACGGTGGGATGAACGGGACGCCCATGGCTAATGGAAACACAGGCACGACTGACAAACACATAAACAACAGTGACTGGAGAACTACACCTGTCTGTCATTTAAGTCATGTACAACAAAGAACATAGTAATTTTGAATGACAGCGTAATTTAATTTAGCACCGCTACATGTTTTTAGTCTTATATGTCCATAAATGATGTTATGTAAATTACAAAACCAAGTTATCAAATCACAGTCATTAAAGCTATGTAAGTTTATAAATGTTTATAACATTGAACATCATATAAATCAAATTTTTCAAGGAGGAAAAAAGGGCGAAAGACTGAAAAACTTTTGACCTAAAACACATAAAATCATCCTTTTGAAAGATGGTATGTGTGTGTGAGAGTGTGTGAGGATCTTTACCTTGCAATCTTGCCTTGTTTTCCTCGTGGGAGTTTGTCTCCATGTCTGACACGCCACTGTCGGTGGGGCTTGGGGGCTCTGCAAAAAGACAAACATACAAATACAACATTAACACTCTTAATACATGACCAAGCCATTTTAGTCTTCTGTTAGCAACTTCTAACAGAACACTGAAATAGCTCAGCAATGTCTCACAAGGAATGTAGAAGGTAAGTAACTCAAGTACAAAAATGGACAAAAGATTGATGATTCTCACCCATTTTAGCGATGGGCTTGGCCTCTGCTGTAGTCGGGGAGTCCATCTCCACCAGCGCCTGTGCCGCCATCATGGCTCTCCCCTTCTCCTGACTCACACTCGCTTCAGCATCCTTCTTGTCGCTCACTTCAACTGGAAAACAAGAGCAAAGTACAACTTTAGTCTGCGTAAACACCACAGAGTTCAAAAAACATCCGAAAATAGTTTCATCAGGTTGGTAGAACATAGGATATTGGGGTTTTCTTTTACCCAACCAGTAATGTCTCTTACCTTGCTTACTTTTCTGTGTTTGTCAGACTAACATTTGACTAAAGCTGTAGCTCTGTATAGAATCCATAACATTATACAGAACTACAGCTTTAAACGTTAGCATTTCAAGTACAGGATTTCCTACCATCTATACAGTAAAGTCATCTCCTTGACATAAATAGTGCATGTTTTGTGGGTAAACAATAGCTATTTTTAGACATTTGTATGAAGACCAGCCCTGACCAGGAAGTTAACATACATGCTGGTGCATATACAAAAAGAATAATAATACTAACTTCTAGAAGTATTATTCATGTGAAGCTACATGTGAAGTACAAATAGTTTTCCCCATGGAGGTCTTATAAAATACAGGCAATTTGGGTGATTAGCCTCAACAATGAAAGACAGTGAAGATGAAAACTATAGAGCCATCATAATTCAGTTGTTCGATATATCTTACAACTTGCGCCTAAAATGTGACCACTAGTCCTTTGGATACTCAGGATAGTAGCACCATTAGATCCATTTACTTGTTATTTGGACAGTCAAAACAAAGCCAGGCCAGCCCATGAGGGGGTGAGGGACCTCACATAGCCTGACCTTTAGAAACGACAAGGCATGCTATTTCCATCCAACCACTGACGCACAAGTGAGCCCACATAATATCCAGATCTAGACAAGGCTGAATGCCTGATGACATCACAGAGTGGTTACCATGGAGACAGAGAGGTTGCCATGGTAATGTCGAGGGACCAAGTGCTGAATTAGGCTTGAGTGTGTTCTAATGAGGACTTGGGTTGAGCAAGCCGGGGAAATGTCAGATAAGCCTAACAGATGTAATATTCATAACTAACAGTCTGCTACTTGTAGGTACTACTTGTCTATATGAATGTCTTTTTCCCTAGAAAGACATCAGTTTTGGATATTTTTTCCATTACTTAAATCATTTCTACCATCTCCTCAATGAAAAGACAAGAGTGTTTAAATTACAAGTGTTTGAGCCACATACATTTAGCTCTTTAAATTTCTTTTTGCCATGTTACTCAAAAAGCATTTTCAATATTCATCAACTAAACACAATACGTTTGATGGGGTTATGCAAAAAGTGACCGTTGATAAAACTTGCTGTATGTAAACTATAGAGTGTAAGGCAGGTAAAAGTCACCCTTTTAGTTTCCAAGCAACTTTATCTGTCCTCATGACCTGTGTTTACTTTCACTCCACCTGAGTACTGAACAGTATACTCAGTCCTTATGTAACACACACTTTACTGGGTACTACTGTTGAACTAGAAGGAACAAGAACACTGCACGAAAAATATTATAACGCTAAAAGTTGAGCCCAATAACGCCAATCTTCCAATTGTAAAATGGCAGTAAACACATTCGGTACCTGTTATGTCTTGATAAATTTACAAACGTTAAAAAAAAGAGAAACATTGACAGGAAGGGATTACTCCTCTGTTTTGGTTCCAATCACTTCCTGTATGGAGCAAAGCACATCCTGCAAACTTTATTGACAGGTGACCTTGAGGTCAACAACAGCCAATAAGAGTCTGTCTACCTTCCTCTGTCAAGTAATCTGAGCTTATTGTGTACTAGAAGCAGGAAACAAAAAAAACCTTCTTGCTCAAGTCCAACCATTTTCTGAAAAAAAAAATACAACTGGGTTTTCACACCTTTGTACGTAACACTTTACTACACAACCAGTCAGTTAGCAAAGATATAATTAGCCTTAACAAATCTGTTTTGAATTTTTGCTTGATTGATTTAGAGGACTGATTTTGGGTCAGAGTTTGCCCACCAGTGATTGGCAAGGTGCCAAGACAAACTGGAAGGGCTCAAGTAGTTGCTGGGGCTCTTGTTTTGAAAATGTCTGCCCTGTTTTAGTAGTGAAATTTGATCACTGTTACAGGCAGCAAACTGGGCAGCAGTTTTGCTGTAGCAGTCCTTTAAAAACTGGGCATTTATAAGGAGATACAACAGAACATTGAAGAGATTACCATTACCCTAAGGTAAAACTGACAAATCTAGAAAGAAGTGTAGTTTTGAAAACACCCATGGATCCTTTACAGATGAAGTCAAATGGATCAGCAGTAATGCAGGCATTGTGTTCTCTGGAATGCATCTTGGGATAATTTTTCAAAAGTAAATTCTTCATCCTGACAGGTTTTTCCGCATGACCCAGACATGCAAAATGTCAACCACCCATCAATATCTGTCATCATCAAAAAGGTGTGTAAATGTCTTTTAAATTTTCAATGACATAAACCTGTGGTAAATTTGTGGGAAGACATGAAGAGCTTTGTCACCATTTCAAAAATGTAGACTGGTATTTAGAAATTAAAACTGTGTTTGGATCTGTTCCTAATTCTCAAATCTCTGGGAAATGGTTACAACGATGTGAAAATAAAATTTCTAAATAACTGCGATAAACACCCATGTGTTGACTTATTGTGTGGGTATATGAAGGGCAGCGTTTACGCATACACTGCAAGGGACAGTCCCTCCCGAACTACTTCCTGTTAGTGTTATGGTCGTTTCAAAGAACAGGATGCAAGTCTGACGTCAAGTGTTCCCCACCCTCTTTTCTAGACACTATAAAGATATAAAAAGTACACGATACCTGCTTTCCTATATGTCACCAACATTTGTACCTTTAGAAAATTGGTAACATTTCTACAAACTCCTTTCTTTGATATCAAATAGTGCATTGTGGAAATTACTCATTTCATATTCATGAATTTTGTTCTCCTAACTAACATCCCAGAGTACTAGTATACATGAAGCTAGTGAAAATTGTGAAATCAAAACAAGTATTGCAATTCTTCCGCACTGGTGCCTTTTTTGTTTCACTTGATCCTTTATAATATAGGCCATGTGGGAATAACTGACTTGTAGCAGCTTGAAGTCTTCTTGCACTTCAACAGTGCTAGTGATGTCTTTCTGCAGAGGGATTACCAGGCATTAACCTCTAACCATGAACCTGGCACCTGAACACATCACACACAAAGCTACAAATGTAATCACATCACAATCACTCTCTATTCCTTTCAAAACTATAGTACTGCCCACCTTATCGATAAGGCAACTGTCACATTTATCACTCCAGTAATTAAATCTGATGTCACTGAATTAAGGCCCAAGTGGTTAATCCCTAACTACAGATACAGTAATCTAACATTACAGCAACCAGCAATGTGTGGTGTCTAAGTTACTGTAAGAGTTAATGTTTTCAGTACAGTAACTAGATGCACATGAAGGTGGGTTAGTATAGATGTCACTGCTACTTCCAACAGACGACAAAGAAGACTTCAACCTGGTCCAAGTTCCAAACCACAAACCCACAATGCCTGGCATAGTACCCAGAAATGTGAAAACTTCTGGCAGAAATACCAGATTCCATATTCCAGACTTGGCTTGAAGCATTTGGCATGTGGATCAACTCGAAGTCAAAGGAGCATGTAATCAACTTCTACAGTAAAATCTTCAACTATTGTGATGTCCACCTAAACCTGAAAAGTTTTCTCATCACAGCTTTTTAAACACTGTACACACAAAGAAAGGTAATAACTATAAACAAGTTTCCAACGAAACAGATTAATTATTCATGAGCCTGTCTACAACTGTGATTGATATTACCAGGTGTACAAGTACAAGAGGCTCCTGTTCAACACCTTTTAAACTGTGTACATAATTACAAATGTCAAACAATTTGGTAATGTGTTTGTTGAAAGTTGCATTGTAGTTAAATAAATTTCAATACAGTTACACTTACACTGCAGTATTTTGAAATATATTTGAACTAGTACTTCAATAAAAACTACTTAAAAGGATGTACCTGGGACATGGACATTTCGAATGCTAGGAAACATCTTAAAGTCCACATTAAAATTTGTAAAGGCCAATGATATATAACGTTATATATAGTACTTTCCTGAATATTTTCCGTATCTGTATTGGTCAACTGGTATAAATAATGTTTGGTCTACAACACCAACTTTTGTATCTACCAATGTGGACCACAGTTTTGTTCTATTTCTAAGTTCTGTGTGATTGGAATGCTACTTCTGTTGTCCAAATAACAGTAATATTATGTGGCCCAATGGTCAGTGAGAAAACTACCATGTGATTGGAAATTTCTGTGCATCGGGTTTGACAAAGATTAATGTTTTGAGCAGCCCTTCCATATGCCAGCCTGTGTCCTGTAACTGTGCTCGCATGGCACACACCACACAGGGGCCTCCTCACTTCCTGGTTACCCCCACGGTCATAGTGGCACGCCACAAAAGGGCACTACGTCTCATAACACACACAAAACACACGGATTTCCAACTCCTAAACGTATCCACGAAATTCTATCCGCTACAGAACGGCACAATGTGACAACAAGAAAGCGGAGATCGATTGTGGAAGAGGTTCTTTGCGAGCTAAATCCGTCAACACGCGGGCCAATAGCAGGTAAGGGAGCCCGCCACTCCGGTGGTGGCCAGAAAAATCCTCACGGAGGACAAACGCACCACTTCCGTGTTCTATCTCAGCGACATACGGCACTTAAGACACACGGGATTCTCACAAAAACTGCAAAAATTTACGCTCTGGGAACATCTGGAAGTCATCACCTACATTTTCGGTGCGACCATGACCGAAATATTTACAACAGGCGGCAGAAAAGAATCAGGAAGCGAGTCGAGCCACGCATGAAGTCAACACAACCGGGTCCACTTCCTGGTTAGCGAGCGGGAACGGTCACTGCGGCGGAATACCACCACCGTTCCCGCTAAAACTCCGCCTAACGCACCGGGACGATTCTAACTACCACCTTTCACTATAATTCGGCAATATTAATTGTTTTACCGGCTTTCAGAAGCAGATCAAGACTCTTGCTGGCCACTTCCTGGACGGGGACCGCCATCTTCGCTGCCAACTCTCAAGGGTGTATCCATCCGCACGAGAAAAGCCGGAAATAATTTGCATACGCTCCTAAATACTGCGGATTATGTGTCGCGCTCTCTCATTGGACGATACGTCACTTTGGGAAAATACCCCTCGGAGTAAACTGGGAAACGCAGTGGCTATCATCACCAAAAACGGATATGTATGTGACTGAATATTCAGAAATGCCAACTAAATATGCATCATATCTCAAAATGCTTGCGAAAATCGATATTACTCTGCAGACGACACGCTAAGGCAGTGACCAATCGCAGAGCGCAACAAGAGTGAAAAGAAATTCTCTGCGGGGACCAGTTCCGGGTTGTAGTCCGCTGAGACCTTTTTAACAGCAAATCGTTGCCATTTCCCAAATTTTTACGTATGGACTAGTTTTAATCATCGATTTAGATATTTTTCTGGTGATAATATGGTGCAAACTGTCAAGTTAGAGACTGAAATTGTGCAAGGTTTAAGATTTTCACACGTGGGCGGAGGGATATTTTAGTCGGTCTGTTGTGCACAAGCCGGTGAGGGACAACCCATACCGAAGCAGAAGGTCAACAAAGCGGCAAACTGATGCTATAATCCTGTTAAGTTTTGAAATTCAAACCAAAAACATGTCAGAAGATCTCAAAGAGGTTGCAGGCAACAAAACGCCTGTGGTTTTCTCACTGACAAGAGTTGAAATCGCTGTTATCACTGATTTGTTGCTGGCAAGTTTCTGTTGCTGTGGCTTTAGAAGGTTGACACTGCTCTCCAGGTAGTCCACATCTGGTAAAATTTATCAAAACTTGGCTGTCTTCCAGTTGGGTGTGCACAGTAGTTGGACCTGAGCAGAGTTACAATTTCCACATATAAAACAGGGTCAAATAAAGCTAAAAATACAACAACAAAAACAACTAAAAAAATAGTT